AAAAAAAAAAAAAAAAAAAAAAGAATTAAGTTCCTGCCGGGCGGCGGTGGCGCACGCCTTTAATCCCAGCGCCAGGGAGGCAGAGCCAGGCAGATCTCTGTGAGTTCAAGGCTAGGCTGGTCTACAGAGTGAGATCCAGGACAGGCACCAAAACTACACAGAGAAACCCTGTCTTGGAAAAAAAAAAAAAGAAAGAATTAAGTTCCTTAAGTCTGTAAAATAAGACTACCCATGTCAGGTGCTGAACTGGAATACTTAAGCTTGGCCATCTCATTTACTGACCATCTGCTTTGTATGTCCTCATTGACTGGTCGTCTGAGTAGAGGTGGGTATGAGAGTGACTGAGATTCTACAAAGTGTGGTACATGCCCGCAGCAATTGCTGTTATTTCAAATTCAGGAAGAATGGTTAGGCTGCTCAGTATTTCTCTCTGCCTCCCCTGACTGAGGTCTGTGGGCCATCCTGGGCTCCTGTCCACTTCCTCAGCCAACACTGTGGAGGCTGTGGGACCTTGGTCCGTTGTCCCCCCACCCCTACCCCCCTACCCCGGCTCCATCCTGCCCATCCATCCATCCCATGGTTGACTGCTTGGACTAGAAGGCTCACTCCAGAGAAGTGGGATCCAGGAATGACCTTGACTCAGGACCTGCTGACCAATGGAAGGGTACCAGTAGGGGCAGGGGCTGGCCCAATACCGTCTACATTAGGATCATGACTCTAGGCAAACTGTTTACCAATGCAGTGAGGGGCCTATTTATAGACTCAGCTGCTTCCCCAGCTTACCAGGAAGGGGGCAGGGTGGCTCCCCAGAGCAAGGGTGCTAGCTGGGACAAGGAACAGTTCTCTGCCTGGGTGGCACTCCCCAGACCACTGGACCCCTCATGGCAGGGGAGACCTTTCCTTTCACATCCTCCACACTGCGTGCTCTCCGCCTACAGAGAGAGTGGCTGGAGTGGGAAGACAGGAGGCAGGCTGCTGCTCATCGGAGTCGAAGCCAAAGGTACCTCTCTAGTCCCCAGGCACGGCTCACGAGGCCTCGCCACTCCTGCCGAGACCCAGCTGTCCACAATGCCCTGTTCTCTGGGGACCTACAGCAGGTTCAAATCCTGTTCCAAGATGAAGAGGCTGCCAACATGATTGTGGAGACTGTGAGCAACCAGCTGGCCTGGTCAGCAGAACAGGGTAAGGAGGACCACCTAGGAGGGCAGAAGAGGGGAGAAGTGGGGTGGGGAGGAAGGGAAGAGTCCAGACCCTACTTCTCCTTAAAGACCCTAAAGTGGGCTGCCCATCATAACCACCCATGTTAGTTCCTTCCTAAACAGTTGAGGCAAAGTGTGGATTTGGGGGTTTTGGTTTGTTTTTTTGTTTGTTTGTTTTTTGCTTTTGGCTTTATTTTGTTTTTGTGGTTGTGAGACAGGGTCTCACTAAGTAGATCAGGCTGGCCTCAAACTCATAGAGATCCATCCACTTCTGCCTCCTGAATGCTGGGATCAAAGGCATGCGCCACCACACCCAGCCTCCAAAAGTTATGTTCTTATATAATGCATACACAGCTTGAAAACGTTGGTTTTGGTTGACAAACAATTGTATATTATTTATATAGGAATACTCATATGTTTTTGATATATATATATATAATACATACAAATATATCTATAAAGAAATATATATGTCCATGCTTCTCCTATGGTTTTCTCCTATAGAAGAGAATTTTTATGAAATCCATATGCAATTTTTTTTACACTTATTGAAGTTGGGGGTACGGAGAAGACCCAAGCACCTCCTGCTGAACCATCTCACCGGTCCAATAAGCACTTTATTTTTGAGTGCTTATTAATAAGCATCGTCTCTGCCGCTGTGTTCTAGCCCACAGCTTTTTAAATCTTGAGACAGTCTTGCTTAGTAACCCAGGCTGGTTTTCAACTCCATAGCTCAGGCAGACTTTGAACTTGTGACCCTTCTGCCTCAGCCTTTGGAGTAACTGGGACTGCGTGCTTGTCCCATCAGATCCTGTCCAATATGTTACTGTTATTTGTTCTGAAACAGGACTTCTCTATGGCCCAGACTGGGCTGGGACTTCGGATCTTCCTGTCTCATGCTCCTGAGTGATGAAGGGGTTACACTCATACACCACCATGCCTGGCCACATGCAATATTATCAAGTGATTTTTTTTTCATGTAAGATCTTTCCTTGTCAGTGACCTTAAGTCCACAAAATACTCGAAGCTGTACATAGATGTGCCAGGATTTATATATAGCTACTCTACAAATAGAATGGTAGATTTGGGTACTTTCTCCTTTAAAAAAATTTTTTATTGTTGAGACTCTTGGCCTTTCTAACATGCAGATGGTATCTTATTTTTCAGCTGTAAACATTCTTCAGTGTTAGCTAGTCATAATCACAGGCCTCAAATCTTTAATCCCCTCCCCCCTCAATAGAGCAGAGCATATAAGATCACCTGGAAGAGAGATGGTGGTGCACACCTTTAATCTCAGCACTGAGACACAGGCAGGCAGATCTCTGAGTTCAAAGCCAGCATGGTCTACAAAGCAAGTCCCAGGACAGCCAGAGCTACACAGAGGGACCCTGTCTCGAAAATAAAAAATAAAAAAAAAAAAAAAAGATCACCTGGACCAGAATATCTGTCATCTGGGTATCTGTCACCTCCTGATTGCCAGGCTGACTTAGCTGATCAGGCCTGCTGGGCTGCTGTCCTCTTCCTCCTCTACCACTCCAGTCAGAGAGGACCACCCTCCCCAACAGAGGACTGGTCTCTGGTCAAGGATGTACAAGTAGCTGCTCCCCTACTAGGACCTCCAAATAAGCTCTCCAGATCACTGGTCTCACAGTGCTCTGGGATCTGCTTCCCCACCTTTTCCTGCTCCCTGCCAAACTGCCAATCAGCACCCACCCTGCATCACTGCACTCATGGTCCTTTATAACTTGTTTAGATTTATTTTATGTGCATGGGTGTATGTCTGTACACCATGTGCATGTCTGGTGCCCATGGAGGACAGCAGAGGGCATTGGATCCCCTGGAACTGGGGTTACAGGCGGTTGTGAGTCCATGCTGGGGGTTCTCTGGAAACCCAACTCCAGTCTTCTGGAAGAACGAGAAGCATTCTTTTTTTTTTTTTTTTTTCTGGGTTGCAGAAGAGGATATATTTTTCCACCCGTCTAGCCTGCCTTGTCCATCAGCTGAACAAAAACACACACAAGTGCTGCTACAAGAAGCACTCTTAATCCCGAGCCGTTTCTCCAGCTCCACTGCCCTCGGTCCTTAATGACTCAGCTATCTCCTTCAAGTCCTTAATGCCCAGGCCAACCCAGGTTTCATTGTCCTCTGCTCCCTGCATTTGGAGCCTCCCTGTATTCTGAGGTCTAGTCTGTATTTTCTTTGGGTTCTCCTGACATCCTTGATGGATTGTAAGCTCATCTTGGCCAAGATTTGTGGCGTTTTGTTTTCTGTCTCCCACTCCCTTTGTGGAGAAGAGGTTTGAGGTGCAGTCTTGCCATATTTTACTGTGTATCCCAGACTGTCCTCAAATTTGCAGCAAGCCATATTATCTCAGCCTCTGATTGCTGTCATTATAGGCATGAGCCATCATACCTAGCTTCCTTTTTCTATTCATTTGTTTTTTGTTTATTTTTAGAGACAGAATCTCATTATGTAGTTCTGGCTGACCTAGAACTTGATATGTAGAACAGGTTGGGTTTGAACTCACAGAGATCCGCCTGCCTCTGCCTCCTGAGTACTGGGATTAAAGGCATGTGCCACCATCACTCAGCCCTTAAATTACATTTTATTTATTTATTTATTTATTTGTTTGTTTGTTTGTTTACTTACTTACTTATTTATTTACTTATTTACTATTTATTTATTCATTTATTTATTTATTTTTCCTGGAGTGAGGACCGAACCTAGGGCCTTGTGCTTGCTAGGCAAGTGCTCTACCACTGAGTTAAATCCCCAACCCTACATTTTTATTTTATATATGTGGGTGTTTTGTCTGCATCTAGGTCTGTGCACTATTCATGTGCCCTGATATTCATGGAAGTAAGGAGAGACCATTGGATCTCCTGGAACTGGAGTCACAGACAGTTGTGAGCTGCATTTGGGTGCTGGGAATTGAACCCAGGTCCTCTGGAAGAGCAGCCAGTGCTCTTTACCACTGAGACGTCTCTCCAGCCCCCTTTTCCCTTTTTTTTTCCACTTTGATTGATGATTGATTGATTGATTGATTGATTATGGTCTTAAGAGGTGGAAGTCAGAGGCAAGTGCGCTACCACCGAGCCGGACCCCAGTCCCCTCTGCTGTTTTTAGTAGCAGGAGGATGAAGACCTTTATGTACTTGACAGAAAATGTTCTAGGATGTATCCCAACCTAGTAAGTTTGTCCACGTTAACCAAATACTTAACTGAGATGTTTGTGAAAGCTGACAAGCATTTGCTTTAACCTCGGCCCTTGGATCTGGGGGTTCACAGTCCTGGGGAGAACTTATGGACCCAGGACAGGCAGGCACCGCAGGCCCCAAGTCCTGCCGACCTGGAGTGGTGACTCCACCCAAGCTGTCCTGGCTTTGTCTGAAAAATACCCATCATCCCCCGAAATGGAACCTGGACTAAGTCTTATTCTTCAAAAACAAAACAATCTTCACCTAAGATTTAGAGAAACAGCGACCCCACTTCCCCGCCATGCCAACAGTGTCCACTTCAATACAGCACACTGTATCCTTTAAACAAGTTCTTGACTGTTCCATTCAAAGCCAATACCAGTCATTGATCAACAAGCCCCTCTTTCCACCTGCCAGTCCTCTTCCAAATTCAGCTCCATACACACCTGTGCACAGCTGCCATCTCCAAACCCAAGGCCAGATGTGAATGAAGAGAGCCACTGAACCCACTAGCCACTCAGCCTGAGGTTCCCGTCAGGACCTGCTCATTGGCTGGCTTCCTCCTTTGTGATTTTATAGAACAACTCCTCTATGACACATACTATGTGAGGTTTTCTGCCGTGTTTGCCAGTGCCCGGGAGTGTAGTGTTTTCTTAGAGACTGACAAAGTGTTGAAAAAGTCTCTCCCGGTGTGTACCCCCAACTCAGAACTTGAGTGAACCCCTAGTCACAGCCCCAGGGAAGGCCAGCATCTACAGTCAGCCCTAGACAGCTTCTCCATCCTGCACTCCCATTCAAAGGCCTACAGTACTGCCTGTTCTCCTCAGGATTCTGGGTGCTGACTCCAAAGACCAAGCACACGGCACCTCTGACCATCGCTGTGGCCAGAGGCTACACAGACTGCGCCCGGCACCTTATCCTGCAGGGGGCTGAGCTCGATGCCCGGATTGGAGGTCATGCTGCCTTGCATGAGGCCTGTGCCCAAGCCCAACCCGACTGTGTTCGGCTGCTGCTCACCTTCGGTGCCAAGGCCAATGTGCTGTCTGAGGAGGGCACGACCCCCCTGCACCTCTGCACGGCTCCTGAGTCCTTGCAGTAGGTGCCCATGGCCTGGGATGGTTTTGTGGGGGATGCTTGTGTGTCTGTGTTCCAGCTCACATCCTAGGAACCAGATGACCTGACAAGGCTTCGTTGTATATAAAGCACCGCAGGGATTTATGTTTTCACGCAGAGGTAGAGGCCCTCATTATTGTATTTCTGTGTATATGTGTGTGCACATGTGTGCAGGGGTCTGCAGGGGCCAGAGTAGGGTGTCTGTCGGGTGGGTCTCCTGGAGTTGGAGATATGCCACTGTGTCTGGCTTTCCTTGTACTTTGAATCAGAACCTCTATGTTGCTGAGACTGGCCTCACACTCGTGATCCCCCTGCCTCAGTCTCCCGAGTCTTGGTATTATAGGTGTACACCACTATGCTCAGCTCTCCCCTCCCACTTATTTAATTTTTAAAATTGGTTTTGTATTTGGCTTTGACAAAGTCTTTCTCTGTATCCTTGGCTGGCCTGGGACTTGCTATTTATTTGTTTGTTTGTTTTTTTTTTTTTTTTTTTTTTTCGAGACAGGGTTTCTCAGTGTAGCTTTGCGCCTTTCCTGGAACTCACTTGGTAGCCCAGGCTGGCCTCGAACTCACAGAGATCCGCCTGGCTCTGCCTCCCGAGTGCTGGGATTAAAGGCGTGCGCCACCACCGCCCGGCGGGACTTGCTATTTATGCCAGACTGACCTGGAAGTTTTGGTGATTCTTCTGCCTCTGCCTTCTCAGTGCTCAGATTACAGGTATGTGCCACCATGCCTGGCTCCTGCTCATTTTTGCTTTTATTTAGTTTTGTTTTGGGCAGAATCTCGTGTAGCTTGGAAGATGATGATGACCTTCCACTCCTGATGCTCCTACCTGTACCTCCTCAGTGCTGGGGTTCCAGACATGCACCACCATGCTCAGCAACCAAAACCAGGGCTTTGCACGTGCCAGGCCAGCTCTCTCTTAACTGTGTTGCATCCCTAATCCTGTTGTCGATTACAGCAGGATCTCACTGTGTAGCCCAGACTGCCTCACATTCTTTTTTTAAGATTTATTTAGTTATTATGTATACAATGTTCCATCTGCATGTATGCCTGCAGGCCAGAAGAGGGCACCAGATCTCATTACAGATGGTTGTGAGCCACCATGTGGTTGCTGGGAATTGAACTCAGGACCTCTGGAAGCGCAGCCAGTGCTCTTAACCATTGAGCCATCTCTCTAGCCCCAGCCTCACACTCTTGAGTGATCTTCTCGAACCAGTCTTTTTTTTTTCCCCCTTGAGACAGGGTTTCTTTGTGCAGTCGTGCCTGTCCTAGAACTAGCTATGTAGACCAGGCTGGCCTTGAACTCAGAGATCCGCTGCCACCACCAGGCCTGGGCACTCTTTCAAACACAAGGATTACAAGCCACACCCAGTATCCTTTCCCTTTTCACAAGTGGTGGTATTTACTCTTTTACAGATCAGTTCAACAAACTCAGCTGGCAGGTAAGGACTCCAGACACTGACGGCCAACAGCCAGAGGTCTGCCTCCACTAGCTGTGGGTCAGTGATAGACCCCCCCAGTGATGTAAATTTGCCAGCCCTACTCAGGAGGCTGAGGCAGGAGGATTGCCAGTCTGGTCTATATAGCTAGTACCTGGCCAGCTCGGGCTACATAGTGAGACCCTGTCTCCATAAACAAACTTACCAGCTTTACCAAACTTCTCTGGTGCTTAGGACACAACTGAACTCTCGGTCCCTACACACAAGCATCCTCCCACTGAGTCTGTCCTTTGGAATATAGTGAAAATAGTCGTTTCCTGGAGCCCCACAGAGTAAGCTTTTTTAAGTGCTTCTTACATTTGGTATTAGAAGTCAAAATAGGGCTGGAGAGATGGCTCAGAGGTTAAGAGCACTGGCTGCTCTTCCAGAGGTCCTGAGTTCAATTCCCAGCACCCACATGGTGGCTCACAACCACTTGTAATGAGATCTGGTGCCCTCTTCTGTATACATAATAAATAAATAAATCTTGAAAAAAAAAAAAGAAGTCAAAATATGTCAACAATTAGGATTGACTGCAGAATTAAACTTAGTAGTTTGTCAGAGGTGCTGTTTACTCAGCTCTTGGCCACTGAGCACGTGTATCCATGATCTGTATTGTATTTGGGGGAAGGATCTCCAGTTAGGGTTTCACTACCATCCAGCAGCTGCTTTTGCCTTTTCCATTGTAAACTACCATTGGCTGGGCTGGAAAGACGGCTCAGCCGTTTAAAGGCTAGGCTCACAACCAAAACTAAATTACCATTTTTTTTCCATTGGCAATTTAGTTCAGCTCATGTTCCATCACCACAGTAGGTAATAGCACATTTGCTGTAATGGTGTGCTGGGCTATAATTTTTCCAGGAATTCAGAGACTGTGAAGCAGGTTCCCTCTAAAATGTTTTGTTTGGTTTTGCTTGTTTTCTCTAAGGGAAAGGAGGGTAAGGAGGTCCCCAACCGCTTTCCTGGGCCGAGGGAACACAGCCCGTTTGGGAAGAGTAATCATCTGTTTTTGGAACACACTTTAATATTCCACGTGTCAGAGTGTACTTAGGGGTGGGTTTTCCAGATCTTGCCCTATCAAAATGTAAGGAGATCAGGAGCTGGGGCCGTTGCTCAGCTGACAGAGTGCTTGCCTACAAACATGCATGGAACTTTGCCTTTGATCCCCAGCGCCACAGAAGCTGAGCTTTGTGGTGCAGACCCATAACCTCAACAAGTGCAAAGAGGAGGCAGAAGAACCAGGAATTCAAGGTCATCCTCTGCTGCATAGTGAGTCTGACACTGTCAGGATCGCGGTGCGGCTCAGCAAGAGCTTGCCATCTTGCCTGGGTTTCCCACCAGGCACAGAAAAAGTAAATCAGTTCAGTTCAGGCCGAACTCTCCAGATGCTGCCACATCCATTAATGCTGTGTGCTCTTGGCTGCTGCACTAGACTGTTCTGGGCTTAACTGAAAACTGAAGTGCTTCTGGCAGCTTCTCCCGGCCCCAGAGCGCTGGTGTTTGTAATGGAGTTTCTGTGATCAGATGGGAACACTAGGCCAGACCTCCAGGCAGAGGTGTGTGTGGGAAGGATATGGGTGGTGACAGCAGGCCTTAGGGTCCTCAGGATTTGCCCGGGTCTTGCATCCTGTCCGTAGGTGCGCCAAGTTGCTGCTAGAGGCCGGAGCATCTGTGAATGTGGCATCACAGGAGAGCGAAGCCACTCCCCTGCACGTGGCTGCAGCTCGTGGCCTGGAGCAACACGTGGCTCTCTACCTGGAGAATGGTGCAGACGTGGACCTGCGCACCAGCCAGGGCGAAACTGCACTGAACGCAGCGTGCGCTGGAGCAGAGGGGCCAGGTAGCTGCCACGAGGCGGCAGCGCGACAGCTCTTGGAAGCCGGGGCTGATCCCCGGGCTGCTGGTCGCAAGCGCCACACACCACTACACAACGCCTGTGCTAACGGTTGCGGAGGCCTGGCCGAGCTGCTGCTGCGCCACGGGGCCAGCGCTAGAGTCACCAACGGGGCAGGCCACACACCCATGGACTGCGCGCTGCAAGCGGTACAGGACGCCCCCAACTGGGAGCCCGAGGTCCTCTTTGCAGCGCTGCTGGACTACGGGGCCCAGCCTGTTCACCCTGAGGTGCGCTGGGAGGGCCTGAGGAAGGAGATGCCAACTGGAAGGGAGAGCCTAGGACAGAATTTCCTGACTGGAAGGGTCTAGGAGGTCAAAAGCCTCCCTCAGTGACTAGAGATCTATCCCCATCTTGGCAGAGGGGATAGGGTGTCCAAAGGTAGAGAGTCAAGGAAACTGAGGCCAGGGGCTTGGGGCATGTGTGGGCGGGGCAAGGGGAGGCATGGGAAACATGAGGGGGTGTGTGGCAATTTATATTAGCCAGCCTGGGGCTTGCCTTATTTGGGGCAACATGCAACTCCTGGGTTCCTATTTTGATTCCCAGATGCTGAAACACTGTGCCAACTTTCCTCGGGCCCTGGAAGTCCTGCTTAATGCCTACCCATGTGTTCCATCCTGTGACCCCTGGGTGGAGGCGGTGCTCCCGGAACTGTGGCAGGTATGGCCACTCCAAGGGTCGAGCTTTTTCCTAGCGGGCTGGAGAGGCCAGAGGGAAGATAGACCCTGGGCAGAAGAGGGTAGGCAGTGAAACCCCCCCGTTTCAGGCCTCCGTTTACAGCAGCCCACAAAGATCTTTGCTCTCCCTTACTGCCCAGGCCCTTGCTGATGACAACCATCCTTTTATCAGTCAGCTTTGACTTGGCGGGAAGTCCACCAGCATGTCTGGGATGGGAGTGGCCACAGACATGACTGAAATCCAGTCCCCAATACCATGGCACTGGGTCATCAAAATCAGGGGTACTGGAGCGTCTGATCCTCCCTTCCTTCCGGTCTAGGAACATGAAGCCTTCTACAGCTCTGCCCTACGCATGGAAAACCAGCCAAGACGGCTCCAGCACCTGGCCCGCCTGGCTGTGCGTGCTCAGTTGGGTAGCAACTGTCGGCAGGCTGCCGCCAAACTCCCACTGCCCCCACTGCTCAGAGACTACCTGCTGCTGTGTGTGGAGGGACAAATCCAGTGAGCTCCGAGCAGGCCACCTCCATCTGCTCCTACACCCAGGCCTGGGAAACCAACCAGTACCTTTTCCTTTGCACTTAGCATGGCCTCCAGGGCCAGCTCGTCCCTCCACTGACATTTAAAGCCACCTGCTGATCTTCAGGCCTTCTCAGCCTGTCCCCAAAGAAACCTTTCCCCCACCTACCACTCTCATGCATAAGTAGATAGATGGCCTCTTCATCGACCCCAGCTACAAGCAACTGATCCCAGGTGCAGCTCCTCCCTCGCCAGCCAGATGCCTACTCAGCCCCCTTCATAGTGGCAGGCCCTTACTTGGACTTGATGGCGTAGATCTCTAACCCCAGTACTCAGCAGGCTGAGGCAGTAGAATTGTGAGTTCAAAGCTAGCAAGATCTTTGGGGCAGGGGAACCCTGCTTCTTTGCCTTCTTTCCTTTTTTTCAGAGCTGAGGATCGAACCCAGGACCCTGCGCTTGCTAGGCAAGCCCTCTACGACTGAGCTAAATCCCCACCCCTCTTTGCCTTCTTTCTAGCCCAACTCTAGATAGAACTAAAAGGGCTATTGTACTTGTTTTTTCCCAAGCGCTAGGCATGGGGCTCGGGGTATGTGGTAAGCAAGTGTCCCACCACAGAGTCAGACCCCAGCTCTTAATGAAACCCATGTCTCGAATGGATGCTAGAATAATCTTTTTGTGTTTTGTTTTTGTTTTTTTTGAGACAGGGTTTTATATAACAGCCCTAGGTATCCTAGAACTCACTCTGTAGACCAGGCTGGCCTCGAACTCACAGAAATCTATCTGCCTCTGTCTCCTGAGTGCTGGGATTAAAGATGTGCGCCACCACCACCACTGCCTGGCCCCCTGAAACCTTTATGATGTGTTCTCCCTTACTCCCAAGTGTTGCATGGTATCTTAACTGTCAGTCACTCTAGAATGGCCTCTGGGCCCAGAGAGCTAGAAAGCTGTCCTCTCTTATTTCGTCTGGCCCTAGAGACGAAAAGGTGTGACCACTCACATTTAGGGGGAGGCTTTTCAAGGCAAACCAGTTGTATGAATGCAAATAAACAATTTGTGCACAGAACAAATGTATGGATATTGTTAGGTTTAAATGTGACTGAAGTTTCCATCACTCCATGTTTATTCTCCTCTCTGTGTTCTTCTGGGGCTTCTACCTTTTCTGCCTTGAACAGGTATTACTAGTGACATGAAAAAGGCTACAGACCCCCCCACACACACACACATACACACATGGGAGCCTTGTGGTAACTATCCCAGGAGAGAATAGAGGGGCTTATTTGACCTTTTTGCTGGGGACACAGGGATCTCAATCACAAGATGGCATCACCCAGCAGACAGCAGAGCCACATCAGGAGCCCCGGGCCTGCTTCCTGGGGCCTCTGCCCTGGTTCAGCAGAGTAGGAACCACCTGTTTCTGGATGGAGGTTTTGCTTTAGTTCCACAGAGCCAAAGGTCTAAGACAGTGGTTCTCAACCTATGGGTTGAGACCCCTTTAGGGATCGAAAGACCTTTCATAGGGGTCATCTAAGACCATTGAAAAACAGATATTTATATTATGACTCATAACAGGAGCAAAATTACAGTTATGAAGTATCAAAGAAAATAATTTGGGGGGGAGCTTGAGACAGGGTCTCTCTACATAGCCCTGGCTGTTCTAGAACTCCATTTGTAGACAAGGCTGGCCTTGAACTCTCAGAGATCTGTCTGTCTCTGCCTCCAGTGTATACCACCACACCCAGCTTCAACAAAAATAATCTTTTTTTTTTTTTTTTTTTTTCCCCGAGACAGGGTTTCTCCGAGTAGCTTTGCGCCTTTCCTGGAACTCACTCTGTAGTCCAGGCTAGCCTCGAACTCACAGAGATCCGCCTGGCTCTGCCTCCCAAGTGCTAGGATTAAAGGCGTGCGCCACCACTGCCCGGCAACAAAAATAATCTTATGGTTCTCACCACAACATGAGAAACTATTAAAAGGTTGCAGCATAAGGAAGTTTGAGAACCATTGGTTCTAAGAGAAGAAAAGGAAGGCTTCCCAGTCCTTGGCCTGAGTAGGAACCTTGCTCCAGGGAATGATGCGAAGTTTCTGCCCCATTATAGCAGCAGGCAGGCCCTAGCCAGTCTAATCTCTTCTATCACGCCTTAAACCACAAAATACCTACTTGTTGCTGTTGTTTTCTTAAAGATGTAGTGGTCTATATGTATTACTTTTGTGACAGGCAAAGAGTTTCCAGTTACAAAAGAGCATGAAATATTAAAAGAACAGAGGTTAGGGGTGGCTTTACTTTGTTTTACATTTGTGTGTGTGTGTATGTGTGTGAATTCATCAGAAGACAACTTGTAAGAGCTGGTTTTCTCTGTCCACTCAGCAGGAGCCTTGCTGAGTCATTTTGTTGGCCCTAGGTTTGTTTGTTTTACATCTGTGTGTGTGTGTGTGTGTGTGTGTGTGTGTGTGTGTGCGTGCGCGCGCACCACAAGTTGGGGGAAATCTGCAGAGGCCAGAAGACAGCACAGGATCCCCTGGAGCCAGTTCCAGGTGGTTGTCAAAGTCAAACTCAGGTTTTTTGGAAGAGCAGCAACCACTGAGCCATCCTCCCTAATCCTAGGTTTGTTTAATAAATATTACACCATAAACAGGTAAAGGAAAAAGATTAGAAAGTTATTTGCAGTTATCCTAAGGGCTGGCTGGAGAGACGGTTCATTTGGTAAGTAGGCCTTGGTTTGATCCTCAGCACCCTCATTAAATATTATTATTAATAATAATAAAACCAGCAGGGCATGATGGTGCACACCTTTGATCCCAGCACTAGGGAGGCAGAGACAGATGGATCTCCCTTGAGTTCTAGGCCAGTCTGGTCTACATAGCAACTAGGACAGCCAGAATTACATAGACCCTGTCTCTAAACAAACAAACAAGCAAACAAATAAATAAATAAAAAAGCCTGGCACAGCTGCATGTATATCTATGTAATGCCAGCACTGGAGAGGTGAAAGCGGGTGACTGTCTGGGGCTTGCCGACCAGCTAATGTAGCCTAATAGTGTAGCTCTAGGTTCACTGAGAGACCTTGTCTCGGGAAGTAAGGTGGAGAACGAGACTGAGAAAGACTCCTGAGGCACACACACACACAGATGAAGTTTTCTTGCCAGGCAGCTTGGCAGAGTCGTGTGGTTCTACCCACTCCAAAGGCTAGAGATCCAGGACAGGCACCAAAACTACACTGAGAAACTCTGTCTCGAAAAAAAACCCAAAATCTGATATTCAGGCTATCTGATATTCAATTCCTGTTAAAGGGTCGTTGGAATCCCAAGGGATCACGACGCACAGGTTGATAAGCACTGCTCTATGACATACAGCATTAACAGAAAAAAGGGAAAAGCTAATCCAGGGTGATAGACTTGGAGAGATGGTTCAACGGTTATGAGCATCTGCTGTTCTTTCCAGATCTGAGTTCTCTTCCCAGCACCCAAAAAATGCGGTTTACAACCTCTTGCATTCCTAGCTCCAGGGATCCGGTGCCCTCTTCTGGCCTCTGCAAGCAGCCACACACATGGCATACACATACAAACACATAAATAAATAAAAGCAAACAAATAAACCATTTTTTAAAAGGGTACGATATCTGTGTCTCTCTGAAATGCCTTCCCGCTTTATTTATCAAAGCTCCATTATATGAGGCAGGAATCTTACAGTACTTAAGACTTCTTGCCTGTCTCCCCGAGTAACAACTTTCTTAGAAGTAGAAATACCAGGCCTTACGGATCCCCAAACTGGAGCTCGGTGCGCACTGGAGCAATAATGAATCCCATTAGTTCCGGAGCTCGAGAGCGAAGCCGGAAGGAGTGATAGAGGGAAACCTAGCGCTGGGTGGACGAAAAGAGCCTGCCAGGGCAATCTTCCAAGCATGATACCACGCCCCCTCCACAGGCACCTCCCCCAGCCGCTCCTCCCCTTCTGGCCCCGCCTCTGACCTCTGGACGGCCTGGGACCACGCCCACTGGGCGTGGCCTTACTGCCAGAAGTCCGAAATCCCGCCAACAATGACTCCGCCCCTCCCGCCGCTGTGCAATCTGGCCCTTTTAAAGATTCGCTTACGTCAGCCCGCCTTACGTAGCTTTGCGTCATCAGTACAAGGCGAGGAGGCGGGACTTCCGGTCCCGGTGTCACCAGCTTCCGAGAAAAGCCGGAAGAGATCGGACCCCGCACAGAATCTGGAGTTGCCCGCCCCTCCCCCGACCCCTACGGGAAGACGAGTGCAGAGACTGCCCTGGCGAAGTCAAAACATTTATCCTGGCTCTGTCAGGTGAGGCTCTCCTTCCCCATCCGGAAGCAGCACCACTCCAAACCTCCTTTATTTTCCCATGACGCTCAGCGCCCTCAGGCCCCGCCCCCAGGTGCTCTGCCCCGCCCCCAAGTTTGAGGGGCGTGAATGGTTTGTGACCCCCCGATCTGACCCCAACCGTCACCGGTCTGGAGAGCTGGGCTTGGGCTCTGCGGCCGTGACCCGGAAGCCCTTCGGCTGGGGGGCGGGGGCTCATGGACTCTACCGCCACGGGAATAGGATCTCTCGGGCGCAGAGCCTTCGCCTCCGGGAAGGCAGGGTCGGGGCCGCCGCCGCGCCGCGCGGCCAGGGTCGCCCCCAGGCCGAGGAGAGCACGGAGGCCTGGGAGCCGGCGGACGCGGGGTCCTAACTGCCCACGGCGGTTCCTTGTGTCCCCGGTTCCCGTCCGTCCTCGCCACAGTTTGCTTTTGTGTAAATCACGGTTCCCGACATTAACCTTGCCATCAGGGGTTGGCTGTGGGAGTGAAACATAATTGCTGTCATTTGTTTATCGAACAGTCTTACTTAATTTTGCTTCGATGATTTCACGTCATCTTCAAAACAACCTCATGAGGTAGGTGCCGTTTAAACCCCTTGATCGGTGACAGCGCCGAGGCTTTGAGGAAGTTGTTGGAAGTTACCTGGAAGAGGGAGCAGACCGCGACCTGTTTCCCTGACTGCAGGGCTAATCTGCTAAATAAGGCTGTGGGATGGTCGAATGTCAGTATGTCCACAGATAGTCTTTGGGCAGCATGGTGGCATTGCACTGAGAGCTTCGTACAAAGAGAACCACGCTCGCTTCTCCCAGAAGTCAGTGAAGACATGGACAGGTTATAAGTATAATGATGTTTTATGAGTGCTGTGAGAATAGTCTGATAATGATAATCACCAGGTGGATTTGCCCAGGGACAGGTGTGAAAGTAGATCCTCCAAGGAAAAGAAAAGGTACTCCAAGGAGTATGCAGAGATCTTCCATGCTTTTCTAAGAAACTGCAGAGAGGGAATCTTCACAGCACAAGACAGACTGAAATAAGGAATGTGGGAGCTGTGGGAAATCTCCAAGTAATTTCCACTTGGGCAGTTTTTATTTATTTTTTAATTGTGTGTTTAAGATGCCTCATGTAGTCTAGGGCTGACCTTGAATTTGCAATGTAGTGGAGGCATGTCTCGAACCCTTGCTCCTCCTGCCTTCGGTTCCCAAGTTCTGAATAACTGGAGTACATGCTGGGGCAGTGGTTTTACAGCTGTGAGCCAAGCCCATGGTGACCCAAAGAGGGCAGTGTTTCTGGTGTCTGCCCCATGTGGCTCCCCAGAACTTGCCAGAACAGTTTCGCAGGAGACAAAAGTGTCTGCTGATAGTCCCAGTACACTCGTCCATTCGTGGTGATCTGATTCTGTCCTTGATAGATCAGAATGTATTTATTTATTTTGGCTCTCGACAGCTGTGCAGGCATGGGTCTGTGGCCATGAATGAGATGTAATCAAATGAGAATCTGGCAGGCTGGCTGCACAAAACCTGTGCCTGTGAAGGAGTCTTCTCGCTCTCTGAAGCTGTGGTTGAGGCTGCTTAGGGGGCATATGTGCTTGGTCACGTTAGAAATCTTAGAGAAACTCCAGGCTTAAAGAAGCATATGTAACCGGTGTGATGGCGCATGCCATTTAATCAAAGCACTTGGGAGGCAGGGGCAGGTGGATCTCTTGAGTTTGAAGTTAGCCTGGTTTACAGAGTGGTAGTTCCAGGATAGCCAGGGTTACACAGAGATACCCTCTCTCGAAAGGAAGAAGCAAATGTTCTTTCTCCATTATCCTCCAAATATCAAATAAATAAATAAACAAGTGGTGACAAGCTTATGAGGCTTTTCTGGTGACCTGTGCTCCTTATGGGAACAGAATCTGAAAGCTAGAGTTTCACAATAGAGGCCAAGGGTAAGTCCTTAGCTTGCGATTGAGGGTCCACCGCAGTTGGGGAGGTTGGCTGCCTCTCCTACAAAACACCACCAACTCCTGTCTTTTGTTTGTTTGTTTGTTTTTCTCCAGCCTGACTCAGAACCTAAACAAACTAGAAACCTGGTTATGACCCCTCAGGCCATGCTGATGCTATCCCCTTTTGTCCCTGCAGTGTGGACCCGGTCAGCAGCCAGGCCATGGAGCTCTCTGATGTCACCCTCATTGAGGGTGTGGGTAATGAGGTGATGGTGGTGGCAGGTGTGGTGGTGCTGACTCTAGCCTTGGTCCTAGCCTGGCTCTCTACCTACGTAGCAGACAGCAGTAACAACCAGCTGCTGGGCACCATTGTGTCAGCGGGAGACACATCTGTTCTCCACCTGGGGCATGTGGACCAGCTGGTAAGCCAAGGCACTCCAGAGCCAACGGAACTCCCCCATCCATCAGAGGGGAATGATGAAAAGGCTGAAGAGACCAGTGACAGTGGCGGAGACTCCACTTCGGAACCCGGAGCTAGGGGAGAGATGGAGCCCAGCCTTGAACATCTCCTGGATATCCAAGGCCTACCTAAAAGACAAGCAGGCCTGGAGAGCAGCCGTCCAGAAGCTCCACTGGGATTAGATCATAGCACAAGCTTCTCCCCCAGCCCCAGCCTCATCAATGTTCGGCTCAAGTTCCTCAATGACACCGAGGAGCTAGCTGTGGCCAGGCCAGAGGACACTGTGGGAACCCTAAAGAGGTGAGTAGGCTGGAAAGAGAGTAGTTGCTCATGACTGTGCCTCAGGCATTGGTTCCCCTGAAAAAGCTGATGCAGATGTGAGAGCACTGGAGAGGTTTTAATGGCTAGCCTCTGCTAAGGGGAAATGGGAGACTTCCAGAGACGGCCCCTCAGTTTCTTCCATGCCCTGTTTTGTTGGTCCAGGCCTGTATACCATCCTTCCTTATCCAGTCTTTCCTTTCATCCTTGTAGCAAATACTTCCCTGGACAAGAGAGCCAGATGAAGCTGATCTACCAGGGTCGGCTGCTGCAGGACCCAGCACGTACACTGAGTTCCCTGAACATTACCGACAACTGTGTGATTCACTGCCACCGCTCACCCCCAGGGGCAGCTGTTTCTGGCCCCCCAGGCTCTTTGACCCCCTCAGCCACTGAGCCATCCAGCCTTGGTGTCAACGTGGGCAGCCTCATGGTGCCTGTGTTTGTGGTGCTCTTGGGCGTAGTCTGGTACTTCCGTATTAATTACCGCCAGTTCTTCACAGCACCCGCCACTGTTTCCTTGGTGGGAGTCACGGTCTTCTTCAGCTTCCTAGTATTTGGGATGTATGGACGATAAGGACATCGGGGAGACAATGAATGGCATGGCCTTCCTCCTTCATGGCCTCCCCCCTTTCCTGGCCAGAGCTGGGCCCAAGGACCTGGGAGGCAGGGATGGGAAGGATATGGTGGGTGCCCTGTCCATAGGACCCAGGAAGCAGGTGTGTGTCCACAGGGTACAGATATCTCTGCAAGCACAACTCAGGTAGAAACAAGGATATCATCTTCCCTCTTTTGGAATCCCAAAGTTCAAAGTGTCAAGCTCAGTGAGAAGCTTGGGCTCTGGGCCTTCCTTCCTGGCTGTGGCTCTAGCCCTTTTCTGTTTCTTGCATGTCTGCACCCTACCCCCCAGGGCTGCTGCCAGGGCAGCTCAGCATGGCCTTAGCATTTCTCCACAGGGAGCTTGAAGTACCACTTCCACGCCTTAGATGAGGGTGATCTTTTGAAATGAAATTCACAGGCAGGGATGAAGACTACTGGCTTTCCCTATAGGCACCCAGCTGCCACCACCTCCTCCCTTTACCCCTTGTAGCAGGAATAGGATATTTTGCTTTCTTTCAAAGCACTTTTTTTTTCCCCCTCTCCTAAATAGCCGGCATAAAGCTCAGTTAGGCAGGGGATTGGGGCAGAAGGCCAAGCCCCCGGCGGCATCAAGAGGCCAGGTCACAGCTGCTGCTAGCCTAGGCCTAAAGCTGCAGGAGAAGACTGGCCCTAATCCAGTGTCCTGCCCAGGTCCAAGGACGAGCTCTGGGTATAGATTGCCCTGCCCTAGGCCCTCAGTTGGTGGGTCAGTATGAGCAAATAAAATTGCATTTTGTGGCTGTGGAGCCTCTTTTGTGACTGCTCTACCCTCAACAACATGGTAAAGAGGGTGGGTAGGCCAGGCTACCAACGGGAGATGCAGTTTATTTACACCAGCAGCCATGGGGGCAGAGGGAATACACAGCGTTTACAAAGTTAGCTACCTGTACAGGATGGATTACATATGCAAAAATAAAAATCTCAAGACCACAGGACAGCGTGAGCCCCACCCCCCCTCCCCCAATGACCCCAGCATGCGGTAATGCCAGGCGGGTGGCCCCTGGGCATGCGGGGGGGAGTGATGCATGGAAGGAAAAGCCACCGGCCATGGAAATTAGTACAGAACCCCCCCACACACACTCAGACACATGATAGGATACAGGGTGGACGACACCTAGCCAGGGTGGGGGGATGGGAATTGAAACCCACACAGCCTGCTGTTAGAGGGAGTGGGGAGTTCCTAGCCCCGTTCAACTACACGGTAGGGGGGCATACTCCCCAGAAGGAAGGGGGTTGTTCCCTCAGGGTCCCTGCTGGACCAAGCCCATCTCTTACCCAGCCTGGGCAGGGGGCTCTGCCCTGAGGGTGAGCCAAGGAACAATAGGGAAGTGTTTTGTGGACAAACCAGTTCCCGAACTACCCCCTCCAACCAGAGAAGGGAGAGGTGGGAGAGCAGAGTGAGTTGGCCTGAGCTGCAGCTACTTCGCCTGGGCCGGCGGCGTCCCCTGACCTTCAGCAGGCTCCCAAGCCTGTGCTTGGAGGCAGCCGAAGAACCTGCTCTGCCCCTCTAGTTTCCCCTCAAGGGAGAAGGCTGTAGAGGGCCAAGGACAGAGGAGCCCAGGCTCCAGGATTTATTCTAACTCCTGCCAAAATTGGTTTGACTTTAAAAAATAATCACAATGCTTGGGTTAAAAATCAATTTGTAACCAGGCATCAGCCACAATCAGAACCACCCCAGGGGGAGACTGGGGTTCCAGACAGGGTACTGCAACCCTAACTCTGTTGTTCCCTTAACCCTCTAGGGTCCCTAACCCAAATCAGTCCAACCAGTCCTGGGTACTGTCTACCCAATGTGGGAGTGGCTCCTCCTGGGAACAGAGGGGACAATGTATAGCAAGTGCCGGAAAACTTGGCTCAGGGTCAACCCCGTTCCTGTCAGTCAGCTGTACTCCAGCCCATGCCCAGGTCCTCCAGCTCAGCTCCAAGGCATACCACCTACTTGGCAGGTGGGATAGTACATCTCTTCAGGATGTAAGCCAGGTAGGTGGGTGCCCTGGCATGACAGTCCCACAGAGGGGCAACCGCACCCAGCCAACCTCCGCTGACAACCGAGGGCAGAGACTACCTTCTCATCCCACCCTACTCCTAGCAAAGGGAGAGAGGCACAAGATTAGGGTTTTCCTCAGAGCCCCAAACCACAAGTACAGAATAAATAACTTAAAAGCGGCAAGGGAGGGAACAGGGCAGGCTTTAGAGGCGGGAGCGCTGAGAGGAACGAGAGGAACCAAAGCTGGTCAAGGTGAAGGGGTGGCAAGCAGCAGCTGGGAACTCAGGCTGCCCCAGCAGGGCAGGGCTGGGGGGCAGGATGGGGGGGGAGAACAGGGGGCCACCCCAGGAGGGTGAGGCTGGGCCCCTTCCTGGGGCAGGGAATGAGGTAAGAAACATTTCAAATAAAGCAGCACCGTCCCTCTCACCTGGGCTGTCCTCACAGCCCTGGGGCAGGGAGGGCAGGGGGCCACTCTGATACAGGCTCCCTCTTCCTACCCTCCCCTTCCCATTCCTTGAAGCTGTAGAGGCTGGAGGCCCTTTCCTGGCCCCCAACAACAAAAGGACAGCTCCTGCTGCCAAGGAGGCCCATGGGGACTGAGGGAAGGGCTGCCCCGTGAGGCAGTTCTGGACGCCCACCTCAGCAGACAGCACTCTGCCTGCCGACCCCGGGGACTGGGGACATCTGATAGGACTCTGCACACAGACAGGACACACCAGCCCTGCCCCTCAGCTCCAAGCACCGGACCCATTCACATTGCTGAGGGCAGCCAGGGGAGGCCCCCTCTGGGCTCAGCTTCCAAACCAAAGCTGCCTGGGTAGCCACAATGCCCCTCGGCAGGACTCAGTCCAGTTCCTGGGGTGGGGAGCAGGCAGTGCCCTGGCACAGTGCCCAGGTCAGGCCCCCAGCCTAGCTGGACATCCAGTAACTCACAGAATAAATAGGAAAACCACCTCCCCACCAAACTTATGTCCAAGGCATAATGTCCAGGTCTGAGTCCTGCACGCCGAGGGGTCATGCTTCGCTGCAGAGGACCCTGACGCCCCCCAGGGGCACATAACTGGATCCTCTGCCTGCCTGGCCCACCAAGCTTCCCAAGCCCAAACCCCCAGCAGCTGTCCGTAGGCCAGGCTATGCCGCCTGGGTGGGGGTCGGGAGAGAGGGCTCTCTCAGCCAAAGGCTATCCCTTGCACCCAAGTCAGTTGACATCGTCATAGATGCTGGGCGTTGGGGGAGCCGGTGGCTTTGGCTTTTTCTTCTTGTTGGAGCCCAGGCCGGAGGCAGTCCCTACCAAGCTCAGATGGGATTTCTTTTTCTTGGTTTTCCGTGATTCAGAGCTGTTGGTACCTGCAGAGGTGGAGGCAGAGGGGTTAGAGTGGAGATGTGAAGGGAGGCAGTGCCCCAGTGCCCAAAGCCCCTGAGACCAATTGGCATTGTATTACCTAGACCCCATCCTTGATTTTCACTCGTCTTGGAGGAGCCTGAATCAGAAGGTGAGAGATCAGAAGAGCCGTCCCACTGAAGCCTGCTGATGAGGGCCTGGCTGTCAGTCATGTCAAAGCTGTCATTATCCAAGGAGCTCTCGACCTCTGGAAGGACGCTGGCAAGGAGAGTCAATGAAACGTGAGGGGGAGGTCACCAACCTGACCCACTACCCTTCTGGAAAGGTCACTTACGCTGAGGGCCCAAGGAAATAAATCCGTACGGTTCGCCTCTGTTCATCCGTGTGCTGGGGGCAGCGTAGTGACCTGGTGGGGACAGAATGATCAGACCCTGACAAGGCAGGGAAGGACTTCAGGAACTCAGGTGGAGCAGAAGCTGGAGGGACAGGGAAAGAGTCAGTGGTGAATCCCCAGATGGCGGCCTAGTAAGTGAGGCCTAGCAGATGAAGGGAGGGTTAAGAATGGGGGCCCACTGCTCAAATCCAGGGGTCCCCCCGACCCATGCCGATGGGATCAGCCCCCATCTGTGCTCACCTTGTGCACATCTTCTTGGTATGTTCAGAAATCACGCCACATTGCTGGAAGAGAGCATAAGCTGAAAGGAGGGCAGGGGACCTACTGGAAATCCTAGCTGCTCCCTCTGCACCACTGCCGGACCAACTGCCCACGCGGAAAGCAGCCCCAGAGCGGGTGGGACAGGAAGCCTACTGCTGCCATGTCACCTGCCCTTCAGGGTCCTGACTCTCCCCCACTGCCCAGCCCAAGCCAAACCTCCCTCTCTCCAAACACACACCGTGGTGAGCAGGCTCCGCAGCTCTTCCGGCCCCAGGGTCTCATAGCTGATCCCAGTTGAGTTGCTATACTGTGAGAGAACCAGAGGTACAGGTCAGCGAAGTGAAAAGAAGGGCAGACAGGAAAGGGTGGGAACGGAGACTCGGTCCCTCTCAGCCTGCCTCCATGCTGTTTTCTAGGAGTCCTCCCGACCTACCTGCATATGGAGGGGATGGGACCCACAAGAACACGAACACCCACGGTTCAAAGAGCCCCACAACCCTGCCAGTTGCCAACAATCTGAGCTCACTTGTCCAAATCCCAGCCACCTCAGAGGGAAATGAGGAGAGGCAGAAAGGGAGCTTCTTGCTACTCACCTTAAAAGGATCGGAGTTGCTAAGTTCCCCTGAAGAAGAAAAAAGAAGGGGAAGGGTGTTTGATGCAGAGGTACAGACAGAGAACCCTGAAAATAACCAGAGAGGAAGTGGGGTGATAGAAGGCTCACAGGCCCTCCCTCCCACCCCCTACAAGTCCTGTGATCACACAGCTGGCAGTGCCCCTGTTGGTCTGGCCCCACTTACCATTTTTGTGTTTTAAAGACTTGGATCTTCGAGGGGAATTAGGGTTCTGGAATGGGAGATACCATAGCTTTGGGGGAAGGGCAGCGATAAGGGGGGGCCGAGAACCCAGGGAAGGAAAAAAGATTTGACAAAGAAACAACCTCAACCTCATCCTCCTCCTCCCCGGGAAGAGGCCTGGCTGCCTACATCCCCTCCCCCCCCTCCACCAGAGGGAGCTTCCCTGCCCACCAGTCACCCCAAAGAGCCCCCCCCCTCCCACAGCAACACCACAGTTGAGTAAAAAGACCTGAGCACTCCCTGCCCAAAAGGAAGGGAGGGCATCTGTCCTTCACCCAAACTTCCCCCATGCTCGCCCGGCTCTCACCTTGTCTGATTTTCTCTTCTTGGCTGGGGACAGAGAACAAAGAACACAGTTACTTCTGAGTTCTCGGTCTCAGCATTTCTGTTGTTCAGAACTACATTTTCCCGTCATCACGACAGCTTACAGCAAACGTGTGCTCTAAACCCGATTTCCCACTTCACCCCGCTTCTCCCAGAGCCCCAAACACCTTTCTTCTCTGAGCCATAGGACCAGTCATTGTCATTGATGTCATCGTTGTCTTCTTGGTCACTCTCAGACTTGTTCATGTTGTTGCTGTTGGCAATCCTGCCCAGAGTCGAGAAGACACAGGGTCAAGGCTATCACACATCTGCACGTTATTTTGCACATTATTCTACAGCGACGCATGTGAGGGCCAAGTGTCCTCCACACCCTACCACCTGCCCCCACCGGACCACCCCGAGGCACAGACTGCACAGGACGCGCGTCCGTGGTGCAGACAGTGAAGAGGCTCTCACCGACGGTTGGCGATCCGGCTGCTGTTCCGACCCATTCCCAGGCACTTCTCCAGGTGGGGGGCGAAGCGGGAGGCAGCGATACTGCGACTGCAATTGGGGCAGACGCACTCCTTGCTCTTCCACTGGTTGAAAACCTGTCCAAAGATGTCCAACCCAGGCTGGTCCACGATCTCTGGGGACAGGAGAGGCGTGGCGATCAGAGCGGGCAGGGCACCCTCTCCTCTTCTCCCCTGTGCTCCCAGGCCCCCTTTAGCCCCATCCCTGCTTAAGTTCACAGGAGCTCCAGGCTTTGCATCCAGGGCAGTTACTAGAGAACCCTCTAAGTCCCCCCCTCCCCCTGGGAGAACTCTTCTTCCACCCTGAAGCTCACCAAAATCCTTCATGCTCTCAGGATCCGTATCATCCAGGAAGAAGTAGCCACACTTGACAGCCCGGTGTACCTCAAAGCAGAATCCCAAACAAGAATCCTCGACCAGGTCAGCATATATCTCCTGAGCGATGGCCTGGGCCCCAGGAGAGAACATCCATGGTCACAAGGGTGGCACCCCCCTGGACTGAACAGCTAGCTCCCACCAGCCCAACATCCTGGCCCCAACCAAGCAGGCTGCTTTCTTGGCCACTTTCCCCACCTGACTCTTTTATTCCTGTCTCCCTCCCAGATCCTTGGGTCTCTTCAGCTGGCTCTTCCCGCTAAGGAACGAGGCCGACTACCCAAATTCCTCTCTGGCACAGATGCCAGCTAGAGCGACGCGGAGACACCGAGAGAAAGACCCAGAGGCACACGTGGGGGAGCCCTCACCTCTAGTTTGCTGTTATCCAGGCCAGACAAAGACATTTCCTCCATTTTCATTTGTAAACTCTTGTGGAGACGGCGCTCTGACTGCTCATAGCACAGCGGGCGGCAACACGGCTGTACACACGGAGGTGGGGGTGTTGGTGAGTCCCAGACACCCCCAAAGACTGCCACCTCCCCTCCCCACCTCCGGGCCCAGGGCTCAATCCTGGCATCACAGAGTCTCCCTCCCCGAGGCCCCGGATCACTAAGTCTGATGGTTTCCAGGGCCTGAAAACCAGAGGTGGCCTCGTCCTCCCCAGGCCTAAGCTCGGGCCCCGAACTGCACTGCCAATCAGACGCTGGGTCTATAGGAGGCAGCAGCAGCTCATCCCAGGTACCCAAAACTCAAACCCCTCTTTGATACCCATGGTGCAATGCAGCAGGGGGAGGAGAAGGAACTCTAAGGCCTCAAAGCAAACCCACAGGGTGTGGCAAAGAACTGCACACACTCCTCAAGACAACCCCCCTTTCCCTGAGGGCTCTCGGAGTCACCTCTGCTTTCAGCCAGGATGTCCACTTGGGGGGGTACTGCTACCAGAAGTAGGAATGGCCCTAAGACCCTACCACCTTCACCCCACTGCCTTCTCTTAAAATAAGCCTGCCGCTCTGCGAGAGGAACAGAGCCCACAGAAGCCTACAGGCAAAGGGCATTTCCAGCCATCACGGTCAGGAGCAGCGGAGAGCCCCGTGGCCAGCACACTCGAGGAGTGGGCACTCCCCTTACCTGTTCTTTTAGATCGCACCCTCCCTCCCTCAGGACCAGCCCGGAAGTCTCTCCAAGAGCCCCAAAGTCCAGAAATCCCCACCGTAGGATTCAGAAACAGCGCCCACAGTTCGGGGCCCCACTGAACGGTGGGTACGAGTTTAAGGAGCGGCCGGCCTCGAGCGGGGTGGGGACTGACAAACGAGCCGGGGGCACTGGGAAGGGTAGCAGGCCGTGCCGCGGCTCTTCTCCCGTCCTTGCGGCACTGCGGCTGCATCATACCGACTGGGGGGAGGAGAGCCGAGCCGCCCAAGGCCGGCGGCGGGCCGGGACAGACCGACCCCCAGAGAGTAAGGCAGAGTGGGACGCGTCCCGACCCCTCTCGGCCGCCGCCAGCCCAGAGCCCGGACCGGCCGGGGAAAGAGTCCGGGAGGGTGTCTCTATTGTCCCGGGGGCTGGGGCCTGGCTCCCTAACAAAGGCCCCGCGCCCCCTCCCCGGCCGGCCCTGCCCCGCCCAAGGAGGACCCAGCCAGGGGGAGACCGGGGGGCCCCGGCCCGGCCGGGAAGCCGGGGAAAGCCGGGCGTTTCCGCGTCGGCCCGGGGGGAGGGGAAGGGGCGCTGACCCAGACCTGGGGGGAGGGGGCCCAAGCCCCGCCTCGG